GGAGCCCCCCGAAGCCCCCCCCACCCCCCCAGCAGCAGCAGCAGCAGCAGCAGCAGCAGCAGGGGGGCCCCCCGACCCGCTGCTGCTGCTGGGGGCCCCCAGCAGCCAGCGCGGCAGCGGGGAGAAGTACGGAGTGCTGCTGCGGAAGAGCGGGGACTTCAGCAGCTTGCCAGCTAGCCATCCCGCGCGGCTGCATGCAGAAGCAGCAGCAGCAAAGCGCAGCACGCTGCAGCAGCTGCTGCTGGCCTTTTTGCTGCTGGCTGTTTACTTGGCTTCTTACTTTTACCAGAGTTGGGGCTCTGGGGCTAAGAGCCACAGGGAGCGGCATGCTGCAGCACTGAGCCGGCTGGGGGGCCCCCCGGGGGCCCCCCAGGGGGCCCCCGGGTGGGTACTGGCCTGGCGGCTGTGGCCGGGGCTGCTGCTGGGGGCCCTTTTGTCCTTTTGCTGCTGCATGCACCGCCTGGCCTTTGCTGTCAAGAAGCAGCAGTACCCTTTTCCGGAGGGCCTCGTGCTGCACTGGGAGCTGCTGCTGGGGGCCCCCCTGCTGCTGCTGCTGCTGGCTGCGGGGGCCCTCGCGCGGCCCGTGGCCCCCGAAGCAGCAGCAGCCTTCGCGGGGGCCCCCCGCCTGCTGCAGCTGCTGCTGCTGCACTCCGATGCTGCTTCTTCTTACTTCCTCCTCGACGCTTTGCTGCAGGTCCCTTGGGGCTTGGTGGCCATAGGTGTGGGGCGGCTGCTGCTGCTGCTGCTGCAGCGGCTGCGCGCGGGGCCGCGCTCGCGGCCGCCCCGCAGCAGGCTGCAGCAGCAGCTGCAGCACCTGCAGCAGCAGCAGCAGCAGCAGCAGCAGCAGCACGACGAGGACGCCTCCCCGGCCCCCAGCAGCAGCTGCTGCGGCCCCGAGGCCCCGGACCTCCACGAGGAGGACAGCAGGCGCCAGGGCTCCTACCGGGTCCGCCGCAAGAGCCGCCGCGAGAGGGGCCCCGGGGCCCCGGGGGCCCCGGGGGCCCCGGGGGCCCCGGGGGCCCCCGGGGGCCCCAGGGGCCCCAAAAAGTACCCTGCGAGCGTGTCAGTGAGCATCAGCGAAGACCCCCACGGCAGCGCAGTGGAGGACTTGACGACAACTCCGCAAAGCAGCTTTCGGACGCGGCGGTCGGCGCGGGAGCGGCGGAAGTCGCGGCGGACGGCGGGGAAGCCGGCGGGCGATCCGGCGGGTTCCGCGCGGCTTTCCGGGGAATCCGCCGCGGAAAACAAGAAAATAAAGTCGGATTTGCAAAAAACGGAAGAAATTGCAGCCGAAAACTCCAAAAATGACGAAAGATCGGCGCTTTCCGGCGAGCGCGCGCACTGACACGAGCTGTCTGTACACCCCAGCGCGCAGCCGCCGCCGCGCGAGCTGCCTGTACACCCCAGCGCCGCCGCGGAACTCGCCGCAATTCAAAGGTGCTTCACTTATTTTAATTAATTAATGCATTTCTTTTTCAAAATTGACTTCTTTTAAGCCGCGGCGGACTCCATGACTCAGTTCCTCCGCATGCAGCCGCAGGTCCTTTGTCTCGTGTTTGCATCTTTGCTGCTTCTCCTGCGCCGGAGAGGCTGCTGCTCCCCAGAGTCGAGCTCGGCCCCAGCAGCAGCAGCAGCAGCAGCAGCGGCGCAGCCAGCAGCAGCAGCAGCAGCAGCAGCAGCAGCAGCGGCAGCAGCAGCAGCAGCAGCAGCAGCAGCAGCAGCGGCTGGCGCAGAGCCGCCCTTAAGGTTTGAAACGCTTTCTAGCCCCCAGTTGCCTCAAATCCACCAAATGCAATTTATTTCAAATTATTATTCTAATTTTATTATTATTATTATTTTATTATTATTATTATTATTATTATTATTATTATTATTTTAGTTTTATTATTATTATTATTATTATTATTCTAGTTTTATTATTATTAGTCTTCTAATTTTATTTTATATTTTCATTCCATCGGCGATGCACAACTCCAACTTCGCCTTCTAATTCCACTTTGCTGCGCAAGCTCACGCAGCAGCAGCAGCAGCAGCAGCAGTAGCAGCAGCAGCAGCAGCAGCAGCAGCAGCAGCAGTTCATCTTCTGCCATAGGAGCTGCTGCCAGTGGTAAAGGGCAAATAGTTCGCAGCAGCAAAATAACTAGCAGCAAAATAACTAGCAGCAAAATAACAGCAGCAAAATAACAGCAGCAAAATAACAGCAGCAAAATAACAGCAGCAAAATAACTGCAGCAAAATAACAGCAGCAAAATAACTAGCAGCAAAATAACAGCAGCAAAATACCAGCAGCAAAATAACAGCAGCAAAATAACTAGCAGCAGCAGCAAAATGGTTTGGGAGAACAGCAGCAAGCTGCAGCAAATTGAATTTGAATTCCTTTCAGTGCTGCTGCTGCTTCGCCAGCCAGCTGCTGCAGCTTCTGAGCGATCAAATAAGTGGAAAGTAGCGCTGCAGCAGAGGGGTTTAGGGTTTAGGGTTTAGGGTTTTGAGGGTTTAGGGTTTTGAGGGTTTAGGGTTTAGGGTTTAGGGTTTGGGGTTGTGCGGGAGGTGTACAGACACCTGAGCAGGTGACCAGCGAAGGGGATTTGGACTTGGAGTTATTTTGAATAAATTAAAATTCAAATTAAATTAAAATTTGAATTAAATTCAAATTTAAATTCAAATTAAATCCAAGTTTCAGTTTAAACGGAAATTCAATTCAGCTTCGGCGCCTGCAAATTGAACTGCTGCTGCTGCTGCTGCTGCAGCAGCAGCAGCAGCAGCAGCGGTGGCGTCGATTGTCCGAAAACTGCGTAAAGCTGCGAGTTTTCTGGATTTTCTTTTTGAATTTTTGTTTATTTTAATTAAGTTAATTCAATTTTTAATTTATTTTGCAGCAAAAAGGCTCACAAGCAGCAGATCAGCAGCTGAAGCTGCCGGGGCTGCAGCAGCAGCAGCAGCAGCAAATGACCTTCGCTGCCCGCCGCCGCCGCAGCAGCTGCTGCTGCATGCGCAAAATCGAATCTTCGCAATCTTCTAATGTTTTTAATTTTCTTTTTTCTTCTTTTTATTTTTAAATTAATTCAAAAATTAAGAAATAAAGACACTGCAGCAACTCAGGCTTCGGAGGGCCTCCGCTGCAGGCCCGCCAGCAGCAGCAGCAGCAGCAGCAGCAGCAGCAGCTCAAACTTGAAATGCAGCAAAATGAAGCAGCAGCTGCAGAGTCTTCCTTCACCTCAGCGCAGCCGCTGCTGCTGCAGCACGCACACACAGTAGATCTCTGCGGCTGCCCAGCAGCAGTAGCAGCAACAAGAACAACAACAGCGACAGAACAGCAGCAGCAGCAGCAGCAACAACAATAACAGCAGCAGCAGCAGCAGCTTCTCTAAAGCATGCTGAGGGCCTCATAATGGCAGCAGCAACTCAAAGACTGGCAACTCTGTGGAGGCGAGGGGCCCCTTGGGGGCCCCTGCAAACCTCCTTGGGGCCCCTCTTGGCTCCGTCAGCAGCAGCAGCAGCAGCAGCAGCAGCAGCAGCAGCAGCAGCAACAGCAGCAGCAGCAGCAGCTCGGCAGCTGCCATGCGGGGGCCTTTTGCTGCGGCCCCGCCGCCCCCCGCTTGGCCCCGCCTTCCCCGGTGTTCAGAACTTCGCAGCGCTGCTGCACACGCAGCATTCGCAGCAGCAGCAGCAGCAGCAGCAGCAAAAAGAACTCCAGCAGCAGCAGCAGCAGCAGCAGCAGCAGCAGCAGCAGACGCGGAAGCCGCCGTTCTCTGTGTGCATTGTTGGCGCGGGCCCCAGCGGGCTTTACTGCGCAAAGATGCTGCTGCGACTCGCCGGGAGCCCGCAGCAGCAGCAGCAGCCGCAGCAGCAGCAGCAGCAGCAGCAGCAGCCGCAGCAGCAGCAGCAGCAGCAGCAGCAGCAGCAGCAGCAGCTGGAAATAGTGGTTGTGGACTTGCTGCCAACTCCCTTCGGCCTCGTCCGCTACGGAGTTGCTGCAGATAAACCCGAAGTCAAAGTTGTGGCCAACGAGCTGCAGGCAGTGCGCGGGCTGTGGGGTGCAGCAGCAGCAGCAGCAGCAGCTGCTGCTGCTGCTGCTGCTGCTGCTGCTGCTGCTGCGGGGTTTGCTGCGCGCGTTGCGCAGGCCACGCAAGAAGCCGCCGTCGTGCTGCTTCCTGTCTGCTGCTGCTGCTGCTGCTGCTGCTGCTGAGTTCAGGAAGTAGCATCGGAAGAGCCGTCCTTCGTGTTGTTTTACTTGCTGCTGCTGCTGCTGCTGCTGCTGCTGCTGCTGCTGCTGCCTGCAGATTCTCCAGTCCCCAGGCGTCAGCTTCCGAGGAAATGTCCGCCTGGTCAGTTTGGGGCTTTCCGTTTGGGGCTGCATGCGCGCAGTTGCTGCTGCTGCTGCCGTGCTGCTGCTGCTGCTGTGCTGCTGCTGCTGCCGTGCTGCTGCTGCTGCCGTGCTGCTGCTGCTGCCGTGCTGCTGCTGCTGCCGTGCTGCTGCTGCTGCTGTGCTGCTGCTGCTGCCGTGCTGCTACTGCTGCCGTGCTGGTGCTGCTGCAGCTGTAGTGCTGTTGCTGCTGTTTCCGTGCTGCTGCTGCTGTTTCCGTGCTGCGGCTGCTGTTTCCGTGCTGCTGCTGTGA